GGAGGAGGTGGGGATGGAAGCAGAGATGGAGGAGGTGGGGATAGAATCAGAGATGGAGGAGGTGGGGATGGAAGCAGAGATGGAGGTGGACAAAAGATTAACAAAAACATGATGAAAAGAAGGGAAGGAACAAAGAACAAAAATTTATCATAGGTAATACCACGAGTGCTATTGATAAATCTCTGAGTCATGAAGCAAGGAGGGTATTTAGGCAAGAATTTTCAACCACAAGTGGAATTTAATAGATCCCTTCCAGAAATGAAATTACATCCAATCGGTTCCAGAATGCTCCAAATATTGAAAATAACAAAGAATGGTAAAATCAAAGGGGTTATGCTTTAGTACATACACAGTTTATTGCACGTCAACACAGCTATCGATAAATACTACCTCCTAAGACAGACAACTCGCAACTTATTATTGGCTAGTAGAGAGCAGTGGAAAGAAAAATACGATAGAAAAAGCAATAATTTTTTTGAACCACCCTGATTGGGGCATTTTATATGAATAGTTAAACAGTATTGGTTTTAATTTCATAAATGAAATAGTCAAATAAACAAGATAAAATACAAACCAATTGACAAATCAGAGATGTGACTTTGACTTAAATGTTGCAGGATAGTTGGTTTCTCTACACGCAACCACATGCCAGGATCTTCAAGATTAATGCAACCACCACGGTAACTCAAACTGGAAAGAAAAAAGTCACATTAAACAATTAAAATGCAATATAATAATCTGGCATAAACACAAGTTGTACACAACAAGAAAAAAAATGAATATTTTTAAGTAATTTCAAAGGTTTACCTCCAACAATTCATAAGTCATCAACAATATTTTACACAAGAAACAACAAGCATTTACAAAAATAACAAAATTTATCAAAAATAAATGGTAGATCAGTCAGTAAAACAAGGTAGTGGTAAAAGTTGAGTGTAAAAAGTAGAAAATACAATAAAATACTAAATTACAATCCAGGTTGCATTAATCAACAGATTTCAAAAGACCAATAAGTGAATAATGTTAAATACAGCAATAAATAATTGAACTATTATTCTAACATGGAATTCAATCATTTGAATCTTCCAATGTGCCAGCATTTTGGGATAATTTGTGATTTTTCTCCCCTAAAATTTTGATATTAAATCTAATTCTCGTACAAACATACCTTTTATGTGAGATAAAGGTACAGGGATTACATTAAAGTTTAAGACAAGTCAAAAAAATCATTACCAATTGAATATATTGGAACTCAAACACTTAAAAAGTGCAATTTTTCATTTCAGTAAAGGTCAGAAGTGCTGGAATAGTCATATCGTTTTCTACAAATAATTCTTTACAGTACATTTAATTAATATTTTAACAGAACACAGTCTTCACAAATACAACAATAACATAGTATACTATATTATATTCATATAGTACAGCAATTCTTAACATTCCAAGAATATCAAAAAAGTTGCTGCACTATACAGCAATATGAAAATAAAAAATTATTTAATGGCAGGCGACCTCTTTCTGGAGCTTTGCTGTTGCATGATGTCAGCTATGCAATAAGCGGTGACATACCAGATGAGAATTTGGTGGGTACATGCAATTGAGAAAAGGTGAGTATAACACTAACGAATATTTGAATTTTTTTACTCAAATCACAATTGTTTTATTATTTTGGGATATTTCTTGAGTTGATGTGAATCTAGTGAATCAATAGACACCTCTCACATGGTTAATAATTATTTAACAAAGCTGTAACATGTTCACAATGAGAATGTCATTGGCCTGGACAAGTCAGGGGCTCCGGGGCAGCTGAGCCCCGGTGCGTAGACACAGTCTATGGTTTCAAACCCCACATAAGACACCAATTTTTTCAGTTGTATTAGAGGTGTGGGGGCATTTCGAATTCTTCTGTTATTATATCTATATCATAATTCTTCCACAATCTCTTGGCCTGACAGGCCACTATGTGCTATCGGTGTTTAATTGAAGAACTGGATCCCATGATCAGAACAATGGTAAAGCACCAAGGTGGAGCCAAGGAATTTCACAGGCTATTAAGTAAAGTAAAGATATAGGACTGAAATAAGTCTATGCGATATTCAGGGTACACGTTTTCTTCATGAAATCCTAGAGAAGCAGTAGATTCTGCAAGATGTCCTGATAGTCATTGATGTTGAAGAGAATAGGAATGTAGCAAGTATAAGAAAGCCTGTGCCATTCTTGAGCAGCACCAAGTTTTCTCTGTTTCTGGAAAACAAAACCAGCTGTATGACTATTTTTTTAACTTCATCAAATGCTGAGGAGCCTGCAAGTAGCCAGCACATGTAGACGTAGACATAGATATAGGAGTTACATTTCAAAAATGTTCACATAAATTTCGTTGGCAGTTTCCGAATATACAAATTATAAAACAGCCGTTATTCAGTATCACCTAGAATTGTTTTCTTAGCCTGCAGCAGTGCCTGTAGAGCCATACAACTGTAACAGCCAATGTTGTGCACCCTAAACAACCTAAGTGTCAACATGTGACCTATCGATCACATCGAGCTCACTTCTTTATATTTGCTCACTTTTTATTATAGTATTGAAATCCATTTTTCAATGCATATACTTCTCTTACCTTAATTGAACTAGGAATAGCAGTATAAATTGTGTTGTTGCTAAACAAATTGCAAAGTTATTTTTTTGTTTAATTCATGTTTCAGTTAATGATTCTCCCTAGGAGATGGTTCTAATGGTACAATACAAAATTCTAGTAATTTTCATAATATTTATTTATTTTTGTATTTATATGCAAAATTGCATTCTATTTTGTTTTTCAAGTGATAGGTGAAGTGTTAATAAATTAAGCAGTTGCAATGTTGTAATATAACTAATCATCATCAAGAACACAAGAAAGTATGTGCTGTTAGAGCATCAATACTTCAGTTTAATACAACTTCAGAAAATCATTTAATATCCAACTACATTTAAAACAATTTTCTACTAATAGTTTTCCCAAGATTCAAAGGCCTTAGAAAATTCTCTCAAAATTTTCAGTCAATTTTCGTAAATTAAAAATTGTATGTTTTTATAAATTTAATGAAGATTATTCAGTTTTAAACCTTTATAAGACAAATGGTAAAAAAAAAAAAAAATAAAAATAAAAAAGAAGAAGAAGCTATGTACTTCCCCTAAAAATTATTTCCTTGCATTCATACTTGTAACAACTAATTCTGTTCTATTGAATTTAATCAACATCATCCTAAAGGCAGAAGTCCCTACACGCTATGACATTCAATTCTCTTACATAATTATATGAAGTCAAAACACACATACACATCATATATTTTTTGCATAGTAACATTTATCCTTAAGTGTAGGTCACACCTATTTGGATTTGTGGAATGATTCAAAGAAAATTTTAGAAAGGCCTTTAATACTTTCAAGACACACCAAATTACAGTATTAAAAAAATGCAGTATGCACATTGATAACCTGATGATTTGCTTTCCACCTAACAAAGCTTACAATGTCTTGAGTACTAAAAATTATAGGAATTTAGCATCTTAATTTTTGGAATTTGATTTATAACATAATCGCTTTTGCAATCAACAATTACAAATGGTATTCCATAATAGTATTTAAGATCATTGTTTTCACTTCGATGTAAATTAGGTTACAAGAGGTCTGGATTTTCAAGAATTTCAAGTTCTCTGGCCAACCGGCATGTTACTTCATACTATACTTTTCATCATCATCATCATCATCATCATCATCATCATCATCATCATCATCATCATCATAATGAGCAGGTTATTACGGGATAGTCACTGGCGATTGGTCCTCGCAAGACCATGCGGTAGGTTCTGGCACCGGGCCAACTATGTCCAATGAGCTACCTGTGCCGCTGGAAAATGGTGAATCTAGTGCAGATAAACCGTCTAGGCTACTGCAGCCATACCACTCTGTCTAGACTAACACAGAGACTAAAGCTTCATCTACTTAAGGCCGAAGTGTTGAGGTCCCCCATCTACAGGGTCCTCCGCCATATCAAGGCAAACTAGCCAACGCATGAGGTGGACGAAAGAGATGAACATCTCCATAATGCATGCGTACAATATTAGCACAAAAGTGGAAATGGAATACGAAAGGTTTAGAGGAAGGATGCATGTGGAATGGAAAAGAATGTCCCCAGACAGCACACTGAATGAGCAATGGATTTGCAGTCAGTTAAATTTTATTCAAAGGCGACATGAATTTTCAGATGCAGAATTGAATAGACTCAAACAAAAGATATCTGCGCAACCGCAAAGGGAGGGGAGGGGGGAGGAGGACTACCTGAAAGGGAGCATGGAGCTGAAAATCAAGCAAGTTCAAATAATAACGAACATCTTATCAATGAATTACAAGAAAGCTACCAGAAATTATTACTATACACAAGAGTGTCCCATAACACATAATTGGATTGGAGAACACACAATTGGAAGTCACCAGGTGCTGATGATATCAAAAATGTATGGTGCAAGTATTTCACTGGAGAACAAAATGTAAAAATATCTGGTGACGGAATTATTAAAAATCTCAGCACGGAAGATTCCTACAAACATCTGGGAATGCTACAGTTGTTGGGAATTTTTGATGCAGACATTAGGAACAAGATTGTACAGAATGTGCTATCAAGAGTAAATAAAGTCCGCAAAAACTGGATAAATTCAAGAAGCAATATATTTGCTATTAATACTTGGGCTATTCCCATAGAAACTTACACATTTGGTACAATAAAATGAACAGAAACATCCTTACAGACTTTTGACAAGAAAATAAGAATTACGCCTAGGCATTGACTTCACCACCCTCAAAGTTCAATCCACAGACTGTGCTTACCTCAAGGTAATGCAGGAAGAGGACTCCTCAACTTGGAGGCACTATGCCGACAGCAAAAAGAAAAGCTACGTCCATTAACTCATCTGTTCACTAAGCTATCTGTCATCAAGATAAAAAGATGACCCCACTATGTCTGGCACAACTAAGAAAAGATTTTAATTACCTGGGCATCAAGACCACCCGTGGGTGTCCCACTAATGCTCAGGGAGAATAGCGTAAGAGACACAACTGCATCGCCAAAGTAATTCACCAAGCCCTTGCCAATAGATAAGACCTTGTAGAGAGTGAGCAACCTTATTACAAGTGCAAACCAGAGCAAGTAATCAGCAACGATCAGGCTTCAATGACAGGGTATAGTACAATCATCACTTATCGAACAGTGGAAGCAAATAGACCAGATATTGTTCTGTTTGATATAATATCCAAAACAACATGCATCATTGTTGTTGCGGTCCCTACAGATGACAGGCTTGTTACAACTGTTGCTGAAAAAAAGAGGAAATACCAACCCTGGTTGTTGAATTGAAGGATATGTATGCAGGGTGCGCAGTGGAAGTGCTTCCAGAGGTGGTGTCAGTGAATGGATTGGTCACCAAGAAATGGCATGAGATTGCAAAGAAATTAAAATTAACTGAGAAGCATTTGTGGACCATTCAGAAAGCTACATTATAGGGAACGCCAAATATAGTCTGTAAATTATTAAGCTTGAACTGACATATCAAAATTCCATTATCTTCTGATTCGAATTTACGTGACAACCATTGTTGCCTCAGGTGAACTAAAACCCTGGCATTAGTGTATATCCACAGGAAATTAATAATATTAATATTAATGTCTGTTTCGTGCCACGTTGTGTTGTTACGTGTGTACATTCTTCCATCTAATAGATAACAATATACATACCATTTAGATGTGGTATCCATTGCTCTCCCTCCTGAACCCAACAAATGCAGACGGAGAATTTCAGATATAGAAGTGGAGGTTATAGGTATGTCGTGTAAAGATACATCCTGGAAGATATCACACCATCCTGTTGCAGTGACTGATTGAGACATTGCTTCATTATCTTCATTATATACGTCATCAAAATTTAAGTCAGCTGCAAGATACATAACAAACAAAATCAGTTCAGTTTCCTTTTGAATGCAGCAATGCAGTAAATGCATTCCATGCATTTACTACCCAATTTACAGTAAAGTGAGAGCGTTGTCCTCTCCTCGTTCATTCAACTTCATCTAAGCCCAGATTCCGTGACTCTTCTTAAAATTCAGGAACGTTATCATACGCATTCAAAATTTTAAAAGTTTCTATATCAAATGTTTCTTCTTTGTTCTAAAGTCAAAAACGGCATTCTTGGAATCTTCCTTCATACTCAAACTGATGTAGTTCCCTATGGACCTTGGTTGTCTGCCTTTGCACATTTTGGATTTGTGGAAAATTGCCCTAACCCTAAGTTCACTTAAAATTACTTCAAAAACACTTATTATTTGAAATTAGTGGGACTATAACAGCACATACTTTTTCACATGATGACTACGCAATTATAATACTACAAGAACCTGAAAATGTTTCCAACTAGCAGAATTTCCAGCAGAAGGACGAGGCAGGCGAACAGGGCAGTGCAAGGCAGGGTGGGGAGGGGCAGAGTCGCAAGGGCAGGACTGAGCAGGAGGGGTGGAGTGGGGCTGGGCATGCTGGGACTGGATGGGTAAGGCAGAGCAGGGGGAGGTAGTATGGGTACGGCAGGTCATGGCAAATGGGGCAGGTTAGGGAAGAGTAAGAGAGTGGAGGGGGCGTGGCAGAAAGGGCAGGACGGACAGGGTGGATGGGGCGGAGTGGAGCCTGGGTGAGGCAGTGCACAGCCTGGCGGGCAAGCTGGGAGAGGAGAGTTGGGGCGGGACAGGTCAACGCAGGGCAAGGCATGAAGGGTGGGGAATGGCAGGACAGGTTTGGGCAAGATGGGGGAGGGTGGGCAGCATATGGCAATATTTTCAACCATTCCAAAATGGTAAGAGATGCCAAAGTTATGGGACTCATCCCACCTGTATATTTCACATGTCAAGTTATCCAATTCACAACCAATAGTTAAAATGTGTGCCAAGAGGTAATTGAAAGAGAGCTATGACATAATTTGTAAAGGAAAGTTAAAACGACAATGACCCATATATAGCAAATACCAGGCACTGAAAAAGCAAATGACGCATTGACATTTATTTTGAAGGTTCTAACATTTTATTACTAAAATAAATGTATTACTCACCTGCAATAGGTACCCCAGACTTTGGTTTCTCATGTTCAATAACTTGCAGATCAAATATTGTAGTTAAGAGTACTTTTATTATATCATTTAGAGGGCCTGTGGAAGAATTGATTGTTGTTGTTATTATTATAATTATTATTATTATTATTATTATTATTATTATTATTATGTTAACAACATTTGAGAGACATAATTTACAATTTCTACAAATAAAGCATTTCGAGTGGCAATAAATCTTAAATATTTGAATTAGAAAAATGAACAGTACCTGCAATTTCAGTTTCAACTAAAGCCCTTTCTAGGATTTCAAATGACACACCACCTGTGATTTTCATTGTTAAAACATTGCTAAATGAATATAAAAATTCTAGAACCATCATGAAATCTCCAAATAACGCATTAGGTATTCGACAATTTATTTCACTAGGTACTGGAAGAGGCTGAAATAAATAAAATATTTTTTAGAATTGAATAGAATGGTATCATGGATTAAGGATAATTACATACATTTTTATTAGTAAATTAGATATGAAAAAGCACTAAGAAGTAAAATTAATGGTGGATTAAAATACTAACCAATTAAAAACAAGAATATCAAAGTTGGTACAGGTTAAATTTGCAGTTCTAGCAGTACCAGAAGAATATTTTAATCCATATGTTTCAAGATATAATAAGTACTCAATGTACATTTAGAGAACAAAGAATTGATGTATTAAAAGTTTTAAAAATGATATTTGAACATTGGTCAAACTGAGTTGTTAACATTTGGGATCAAATATAAGAACTATAATATATTTTATTTCTTTTGTCAGCAATACAATAACCAATCTATACCATTTTATAGGAAAACTCACTTTCAAATCTTCACAAAGAAGATCCTCACGATGCTTTCTCCACTCTTTCATAAACTTAGCAAACTTCAATTTCTCTTCTTCTAACTTGGCTTTCTTTCTTTGACGTTCTTCTTGTTGCCTTTCTTTCTCCCGTAGTTCTATTTCTCGTTGTACTTCTAACCAGTTTTTCTTCTTCTCTCTGTTTTGTAACAAATCAATTTTGCATGGCAAAAATGACAATGATTAAAAAGAAACTTACTGAATGTAAATCTACAACTTCTAAAGTACAAAGATTTCCAATATTATCGATTAGGAAATGAATATTAATAATAATATTTACTTTACAAGTGGGTAAAATAGACCACATATGTGAGATAGTTGTTAGTGCTTTTGAATGAGTGAAAGCATAAGTAAACAAGGCAATTGGATAAAATAAAGAATATATTCCAGCTCAGTTTTGTTTTTCCCAGGTAAGGCAACTAAAATTGGAAAGTTCATGCAACTGCACGTTTTATTAATGATCATTCATGTCAGGGACTGAAAATGTCTATTTCTTCACCCCAGACTTCTCAAACAGTGACGACTTCATGAAGTCAGGGGCACTCTTTGTGGAGTCCAGGATGTCCTGTGAGGTTTCAATATGAAGTTGGTTTCTCATTGGCGGAGTAAAAGCGACAAGTGACAAACATCACTCAAATGCTGCACGATTCAAGATCGGATCATGCAAGCCACTTGACGCAAATCCATCAGTGCC